AAACTGCCCAGGGAGCCTGCCTTCGCCCTAGTGCACTCCCACTGGGTGAGCGCTTGTCATCCACCGACCTGCTTTCCCACAGGCTCACTCCCAGGCATCTGGGCCCTGACTGACGTGAGTCAGAGACAGGCTTCCGCTGTCTGCAGCGAGACACGGGCCTCTCCCAGCTCCAGTGCCTGCAGACTCTCAGGAGCTCCCCAGGGCCTCAGTCACCTGAGCCCCACAGCCACTGTGTGGCGGCAATCCAGACACTGCACTCGCCCATCACACACCCATGATCCTCAGCTACGCCTGCACACCACCGTCTGCAGGGAGCCCACCCCTAAACACGCTAAATACATGTATGTCCCCAACCCCTCCGTGCCTGTCGCAGGCCGGCCACGCCACATCAGACACTCGAGCCCTCGGTGTGAAGGTAACACCTGCTGCTTCTGCCATGTCACCCATCTTCTTCTATCCGTGCCTCGCGGAAGCCATGGGGGGCCCTCTGTGAACCGTGGCACCGAATGGGGTGTCCATCTTTATTTATTCGAAGAATGTGCTAGAAGGGAATTCCACAAAAGGCCTGACTGCCAAGGGCAGTAGGGTGGGGACCATCCCTAGCTCATAAGGAGTCTGGCACTGTAACTGAGAATATCTGCCCCCAAGACCCACCACTATAGAGATGGAGATGGGGCGCCCCGAGCAAACTCGCCACCCGTTCGGCCCCAGCCCCGACGTCAGGGGTACGGAGCACCCAGGGTCTGGAATTTCCCCGCCTGTGCACTCCTCCGCAGTGTCTCCTCCGCAGTCCTCCCATCCTTGCCCTCCAATGAGGAGTGTGCCCTCGGGATGGCCCTTCTGAGGTGGACCATCCACAAGCCAGGCCTGGCTGGGCACCAGGGAAGTTGCACTTCGAATAGGCACAAAAAGTACTTCTTGCCTCCCCTCGCACCTCCATGTCCCCTCACCCCCAAAGCTGAGACCATTTAGAACTAAGGGCTGCACCAGCTACGACTCTGCACGTCTCCCTGAATCCCCAAGAAGAGGTGGCGTAGACCTGCCTTTATGAGTGACGACGAGCGACTTGTTTGCAACGAAGAAGAGCTGCACGTGTGAAATTCTGTGCAATTCCTGGTTGAAAGCGATCCGGGCCCACACGGTCCTCGTGGATGGAAGGTCTACGGCCTTCTAACAAGCTGCACTTAAGGAAGATGGGAAGACAAGTCCAGCTCTCTGGGTCACAGTTCCCCCAGTTCCCCTGAAAAGCCGATACCACCTGGGTATTTTTTCTTTTTTAAACGGAAACCACCAAGATCTTCAGATTCCACTGGGACCACCCTCCCTTGTCCTCGGATTCCACATCCCATCTCCCGGACAGGTGCAGCAGGGCTGGTGCCTCTGCCTGGAAACAGGAGGGCTGATGCCTTGCGCCACGTGGTCCGAGGTGCGTTATTTTGCTAAATCATGGGTTCCTCCCTCTCAAAATCAGTCCCAGCTAGCTAGCATAGTCAGACTGCCAGACACAAAACGTCAGCCAGGCAACAGCATGGTGCAGCAGGGTTCTCAATCTCAATGCAGTAACTTTGTTGTTG